GCAGTTGATATACTAAATAAATGCACTAAATAAATCTCTATTTCTGATATTACAAACGTGAGCACACGCACATTATTTTGTTAATTTTTCTGTTGAGCACAACTAACGACAGAAATTCTTGAATGCAGGTGAAACGTATAAATGTGCGACCAGCTTTTACGCACGTAAAGGGGAAAGACGAAATACAATACAAATGCGATTTGAGCTGCAAACTTATGAGCATAACTAACTATAGCAGCTAAGAGACGTAAATTGATTGAGTTTTCATAGACAATTATATATAATTGTTTTTGCTAAAACTTTAATGTTCATGTTTTTGAAAATATACATATATATGGAAATGTAATAAATATTATATTATATTTAATATATTTAAATATAATAAATATATTAATTCTCGATGTAAAGATATTTAAAAAATTTATATAGGACATTTTGCAAAATGTTAGGGTGTTCGCCGCATATCTCCGCAACTTAGAGCTGTTGTCACTGATTCTTTCGTTTTTGTCCAGAAATGAAGACAATCCAGCGAGTTAATTCGAAGGTTTTATTTTTTTGTTGCGCTAAAGATAAATCAGATCTTCCCTAAAAGCTGAACAACGCATTTTACAATAAGACAATGTTACATTCAAATTTTGGGAACCGAAAGCAATTGTATTATTACTTATTTTAGTTCGTTTGATTCTGTTCTCCGATTCACACATCACAGAACATAACCTATAATATTCAATACTCTATGAAATATTATTTTCAACTTTGCATTCATGTTGTTGCCTTGTTGAATTCGGCTGGCCAACTGCTTTTAAGACCATACAAGATGATAGTACTCTACAACCGCAAACCATAATGGACTAACATGATGACAACGCAAAAAAGTAAAGCAGCTGACGTCACTTCTGCAGACACTGATTGGTGAAAAATGCGGGAGATAAGTAGAACGCATTTTACATAGCGGATAAAATATAATATTAATTTGATAAATTATACATAAGCTAAAAATGTGTTTTAAAAGTTACTATATAATATATAAATCACCATCATCATTTTGGCGTCACAGTCCAGGACGAACCATGACCTCCTCTATAATACGCCTTCATTCTTCTCTGCATTTTGCTTTCTTTCTGTGTTGTGTTATTCTCATCGTTCATATGTTATCTTCTACATCTTATAACCATCTTCGTCGCGGTAGTCCTCTTTTTCAACTCCCCTCTGGCTTTGTCTCGAATACTTTTTTGGTCAATCTTTCGTTACTCATTTGTAGGACGTGTCCATACCAGCTCAATCTTTAGGCTTTTACCGGGTCAATTATTTTTCTGAGTTTTTTTCTTTCGAATCTCAGTATCAGGTTGTTGTCGCTGGATTCAAGGACCCATGTTTCATAGCCGTAGGTAAGAGCCGGTCTAATGACAGTTTTATATATGCGCAACTTTTGTTCCTCTGAAAGTAACGTTGGAAAAGCTCGCAAAAATCCGGGTTAAGGCAAAATTTTTCTTCATCACTCTAATATGTGCGCATGCACGGACGGAAGATAAAGATGACGACACCAAGGAAATTTTCTATGAACAGCTTGAGCAAGCATATAAACGCTGTCCCCATCATGACATCAAAATCGTTGTTGGAGACTTCAACGCAAAGGTGGGTAAAGAAGGTATCTTTGGTGCTACTGTCGAAAAGTTCAGCCTTCACACGAAAACTTCTGATAATGGAAGAAGGCTGATTGATTTCGCCGCGGCTACAAACATGGTGGTTAGTAGTACCAGATTCCAGCATCTCAACATACATAAGGCAACATGGCTGTCACCTGATCAAAACACAAGATCTCAAATTGATCACGTTGTGATAGACGGAAGGCATGCTTCCAGTGTCTTGGATGTACGTACTATCCGAGGAGCCAACATCGACTCGGATCATTACCTTGTTGCAGCCAAGATCTGCACACGTTTATGTGCGATGAAAAAGGTACGTGAACAAGCACAGCGAAAGCTAGACGTCGAAAAGCTGCAATCACAGCAGACTGCTAATGACTTCGCTACTCGACTCTCCCAATATCTGGAAAATTCATCTTGAATGAACAGACTTGAGGTGCGCGCGCAAAAAATATCACTGCGTACTTTGATGTTTTTTCTAAGTGTAAAACGTATAAATTAATTTAAATTTATCACAAAAAAATAAAACCGAGACAGTGACTCTTTAAAAAATTTATAAAATATAGTGCCCGACAAAATAAAATATTAACATATTTATATTGTTTTTATGTAAAAAAAGCGGATTTTGGTTTTGCGGAATTACTTTGTTTTTGAAGTGGTTAATTTTGCCTCAAATTCGTACACATTTAAAAACAGCTGATAGAGACAGCAAATAAAGCTTTTGAGCTTAAATTAAATCACAAGAAAAGTGTTGTAAATAAATCTATAAAAACTAAATAAATTGTGTAATTGTGTAATTAATATAGCTAAATAACTAACAAATGCTAAATAAATAAATACGCGAAAGGACGCTAAAAATATTTATTTATAAATTTTAAGGTAAAAATTTAAATTTAAATTTATATTATTAGTATAAATATACGCGCTAAAAATAGTATTAATTTAAAATTAATATGACTGATGCTAATACCCCACCTCCCGGTGGTGGAAATAAAAAAAAAATGATCAAACTTGAACAGGAAAATACAGAACTTCAGAATAAAATTAAAAAGCTTGAAAATTTATATTCATTATTATCCAATGAGTTAACTGCACTGAGAAGTGAAAACGAAAAATTAAAATCTTTTAAAAACGTACCAGAAATTGCAAAATATGAAACCGATGAGGAGGAACTTGCCAGAGAGACAGACTGGATCTTAAAAAAGAAAAGACCAACTAAAAAACGTAAGGTCGAATCCTCTCCTGAAGTAGCTAGTCAAAGTAGACCTAGTGTTGAAACAAATACTTGCCAAAAATGACAAGCTGCCCCTAATAAAATTGCTCGACCTCCTCCTATTGTTATCAATGGCATAAATGATTTTAAAAAATTACATGCCCAACTTATTACAACTATAAAAAACAAGTTTTTTGTGAGACTTATAAATAATGGTTCATATAGAATATCAATTTTTGACTCTTTTGACTATAGATCTGTTACAAAACTATTAAGTCACGAAAATATTTCCTGGTTCAGCTACGAAGACAAGCAAAATAGGCCAATAAAAGTTATAGTAAAAAATCTTCACCATTCGTGTGATCAAGAATCGATTATAAATGACTTAAACAACCAAGGTTTAAAAGCAATCGGTGCGATAAACAAACTCAAATGGAAGACTAAAGAGCCGCTTGATATGTTCCTTTTGTCATTTGACTCAACCGAAGATGTAAAGAAAATCTATGAGATAAAAAGTATTCTTAACACAATTGTAAAGATTGAACCCATCAAACCGTCAAACTTAATTCCTCAATGCAAAAAATGTCAATCGTTCGGTCACACAAAAAATTTCTGTGGAAAACCTCCACGTTGTGTTAAATGCGCCGGCAAACATTTAACTTCGGAGTGCCAAAAGACAGTGTCCGATAAGCCTAAATGCTGCAACTGTGGCGAACCGCATCCAGCGAACTATCGTGGTTGTATAGTCGCTAAAGAATTACAAAAAATAAAATTAAAAAACAAAGCTGACAAAACTAAGGCTGACGAAAATAATCAAGTTGCTGTAACAAAAAGTAAATCCAAAATTACTGGACCTACTAGTGTTAGAACCGTCACTTACGCCCAAACTGTAAAGGGACCCATTCAAAGTACTGAGTCACAAAGCAACAACGCGTTGTCAATTATCTTAACAAAACTTAATCTACAAGAAGAGGTATTTAAAACGCTCGAACAACGTCTAAGCGTGCTAGAGCACAATATGCAATTTTTAGATTATGACTAATCGTTTGAAACTATTCTTATGGAATGCGAATGGCTTAACAAAACATAAAAATGAACTCGAAGTCGTAAATAGCGAAAACATTGATATCGGTTTAATCGCTGAAACTCATTTTACTAAGCAATCGCACATAACGTTTAAAAACTATATTCTATACCATACCATACATCCTGATAATTGCGCTAGGGGTGGCAGCGCTGTCATAATTAGAAACTCGATAAAACATCACTTACTAGAACAATATAGCACAATCGAATTTCAAGCTACTTCTGTTTCCGTGGAAACCTTTAATCAGCCGCTGGTCGTAACTGCATTATATAGTCCTCCCAGGCATCAGTTGAAGTGCGCAGACTACTTATCTCTTTTTAACCGGTTTCAAGGCCGTTTTATAATTGGAGGAGACTTCAATGCAAAAAATACGTTTTGGGGCTCAAGACTTACTACAACGAAAGGAAGAGAAATGTACAAAGCCATGCAACTCGCAGCTTGCAATTCAATTTCAACTGGTAAACCAACGTACTGGCCGTCGGATACTAGCAAAGTTCCAGACCTAATAGACTTCTTTGTCTACAAAAATATTCCAGCATCTCACCTAACCATCTCAGAAGGCTTCGACTTTAGCTCTGACCACTCACCAGTGCTGCTGATAGTTTCACAAAATCCAACAATAAACCAGAACACACCCAAGTTAGCAAATAAATTTACCGACTGGAAATATTTTCAGTTTCAGCTTGTACATTTGCACAAGTTTGATCATATTGTTAACAGCGAGCAACTAGATGACGCAGTACTTCATTTCACTTAGCAATTGCAGATGGCAGCGTGGAACAGTACACCAACACCAAAACTACAAACTCTACATGGTAAAAAATACCCACCCTTTATCACAGAAAAGATTACGGAGAAGCGAAAATTGCGAAAACGTTGGCAAGCAACAAGATGTCCGTTAATTAAATCGCAACTAAACCGAGCAACTAAAAAGTTACGCACAGCCATCAAATCATACAAAAATAATACCTTTAATAGTTTTCTGATGGGCCTCACGGCAGACAAAAATAATGAATACTCTTTGTGGAAAGCTGCTAAATCATTTAACAGACCAATGCAGCAGTCTGCCCCAGTAAAAATAAACGAAACTCACTGGGCTAAAACAAATTCTCAAAAGGCGAACCTGTTTGCTGAACACCTAGAGAAAACTTTCAGTCCAAATGAAGGCCAAGATGTTATTGGGTCAAGTACAAATTGGCCCGAAAGCGACACTGAAATTGTTCCAGTCACTACGGAAGAAGTGAAAAAACAAATTTTAAAAATGAAACTCAAAAAATCTCCTGGTTTTGACTTAATAACGGCTGATGTTCTTCGGAACTTACCCAATAACTGCATCATCTACCTATGCGATTTAATTAATTCGTGCCTCCGTTTGAAACATGAACCCATTTTTTGGAAATTCGCTGAGGTAATTATGATACCCAAACCAGGGAAGTCTCCCAATGATGTATCCTCATATAGGCCAATATCTCTATTGCCAACCTTATCGAAGCTTTTTGAAAAACTACTACTAGCGCGTTTATCACCAATAATCGAGAGAAGACGCTTAATTCCGGATCATCAATTCGGCTTCAGAAAAAACCACTCAACCATCGACCAAATACATGTAGTCGTAAATGCCATTGAATCGGCGATGCAAGAGAAGAAAGTGTGTTGTGCCGTGTTCTTAGATGTATCACAAGCCTTCGATAAGGTTTGGCATGAAGGATTACTCCATAAACTTAAATCATTATTGCCTATACAATACTGTAAGCTGCTATCATCGTATCTAAACGACAGGTACTTCAGTGTTAAATATGAAGATGCACATTCAGCACTAAAGAAGATTAGCGCAGGCGTCCCGCAGGGGAGCATTCTTGGGCCCATTCTATATCTCCTGTATACACACGACTTACCCTCTGCAAACCAACTAGTTACAGCAACATTTGCAGACGATACTGCGGTTCTAGCAATCGAAAACAATATAGAAGACGCGACGGCTAATCTGCAACACACAGTCAATCAAATTGCTTCATGGGCAAAAAAATGGAGAATCAAGCTAAATAAGGAAAAATCAGTACATATAGTCTTCTCATTGAGAAATTATAACCATATTCCAATTCATATCGATGCCACAAAAATTCCACACGCCAACGAAGCCAAATATCTGGGCACTACGCTTGACGCCAAGCTGCGCTGGAAAGCGCATATTAAGAAAAAACGAGAAGAGCTTGACCTAAAACTAAACAAATTTTACCACCTCATAGGCAGGCGCTCTAAACTGGCAATCCACAACAAACTAATGGTCTACAATTGTTAGAACTCCACTCAATACCTAAAAGTTAATATTTGTAAAATGTGTAAACTTGCTTTGGTCGTTGCAACCGTGCGGCTATAATTGGAAAATGCAACCCAGTGCACACATGAACTGTCAGTTCATGTGTCAGCTGATTGTCATTGGTGCTTCCTTTTGTTTTTGAGTTCCGGAATGAGCAAGACGGTTGCTGTGACCAAAAGTAAGTAAAAAAGAATTAATTTTAAGTACTAGAGGTAAATAAATTTATTTTAAGATTTTAAAGCATCAAATAAAGAACAACGCTTTTAAAATTGGTCAATAACAAACTTTAAAATTTTTGTGGCAATCTGTAAAAATCTTGCGGCAATCGAGAAAAGAAAATAGTGTGGCGAGTTGCCTGGAAAGAAATCCGAAAAAATCCTTTTAATCGGGAACACATATAAAAAGAAAAATATGTCATCCGGCAGCCAGAAGTCGACTGTACAATGTGCCGTGTGCAAAAAGGTGAAGAGTGGAAAGATGGTGCAATGCGACGCATGTGACCAATGGAGTCATTTTGCAGGTTTCACGAGGGGTTCCAGATAAGGCACCAAGTGAGGAGGACTTGGTAAGTAAGGGCGGTTCAATCATGTCAAGAAACAGCGTGAGAATCGAACTGCAGTACTTAGAAGAGCAAAGAAAAGCCGAAATGAAATATATAGAAAAGAAACGTACAATAATGCTGAAGTATGTAGGCGAGGATGATGTTAAGGGTGAAGGCATGAGTGAGGTAAGGACACATAGGACGTTAGAATGGGTGAAGAAGCAGGTTGGTATGAACAACGATGACAGCAAACCAAACGAAGGTTGTGGTGTTCAGTTGGGTGGTTCAGCTGATAGGGCGGAAGCCCAAGCAGTATCGAAAGTTATACCGGCGCTGATGATAGAACAAAGTAATGCGCGTCATGTCGTTCCACGAGATTTGCCTATATTTACCGGAAAGCCGGAAGAGTGGCCACTTTTCTACAGCAGTTTCAGCAATTCAACACGTTTATGTGGTTTCAGTGAAGACGAGAATCTTTTACGATTGCAACGTGCCCTTAAGGGTAAGGCACTTGAATATGTCAGCAGTAGGCTCATGATACCAGCATTAGTGCCAGAAATAATGTCAACTCTTCAAATGGTATTTGGAAGACCAGAACACATAATCAATAACTTAATTACTAAAATTCGAGCAGTGTACATTAATATAAATAAATTGGACACAATTGTTACGTTCGCCTTAGAGGTAAAAAATTTGATCGCAACTATGGAGGCTTCAGAGTTACATTCACACTTAGTGAACCCGTTGCTTATCCAAGAGCTTGTAGAAAAACTACCACCGCAAATGCGATTGCAGTGGGCTGTTGCATCGCGTAATATCAATGTAACACTTAAAACATTCGGCAACTGGATATATGAACTAGCAGAAGCAGCAAGTAATGTATCGCCCGTTTTTAGTGCTGGAGCCAGTGTAGATAATGAAAGGCGCAAAGCGCAACGCATTAATTTTCACGAAGAAGAACCTCAGGGTGCAGTAGGCGATAAGCACAAAATTCTAGCATGCTTTTATTGCAAGGAGGCACATGCGTTAAAAAGGTGTGCAAAGTTTAGAACACTAAAAACAGACGCGAGGTGGAACGTAGTGCGTGAAATGAGACTATGTGGAAGATGTCTACTGCAGCATGATTTTCGAACGTGCAAGAGGACCCGAGAGTGCGGTATACACAATTGCAACATGAAACATCACCCATTGCTACATAAACAAACAAGTTCAACTGCAAGTGGGGCAAATGAAACGTTGGCGGTTCATCATCAACTAACTTCACAAGCGCTGTACAGAATTGTTCCAGTTACAATATATGGAAATGGTGTTACCTGCAATATTTATGCCTTTCTGGATGACGGATCTGGTCCAACGTTAATAGAAAAAGACGTATTAAGACAACTGCGGATTAAAGGTGAAACGAAAGATCTTTGTTTACGATGGACAGATGGTGCGGTACGCAAGGAACCTGATTCTGAGCTGGTCAACCTGCAAGTCTCCAAAATACGCGAAGGTAAAAGGTATTCGTTGTGCAATGTGCGTTCAGTAGCTAAGCTGGAGCTACCCGAGCAATCTTTAAATATGACAGAACTTACCGATAAGTATAAACATTTAAAGGGACTACCAGTAGAATCGTATCAAAACGTTAGGCCTCGAATGATAATCGGCCTAAGCAATAAAGAGGTAGCTATGCCAATGAAGTTCAGAGAGGGAGGCAAGAATGAGCCAGCTGCAACGAAAACTCGACTCGGTTGGACCATATATGGAATAATTAAGCACGAACCTAATACTATTAGGGAAACGTTAAATTTACACATCTGTGAATGCGATGATGATCTAAGTTTGCAGCGTTTAGTGAAAGATTTTGTCAGTAATGAAAACGTTATTGAAAGTAAGAAAAAACTAGAAAATATGGAGTTGGAACAACAAAAAAGTATGCAATCAAAAATAAGTCGAAATGGTGAATACTTTGTAGCAAGATTGCTTTGGAAATCAAATAACATTACTATGCCGGATAATTACTTAATGGCGCTGCGTAGACTTCAGTGCTTTGAGCGCAAGCTGCAATCCAATGTAACATTGCAAAATTGGGTATGTGATCACATCGATGACATGAAGGCGAAAGGTTATATACGCCAGCTGAAACCTAACGAAGCCGAGGGGTATTATCCACGTAAATGGTACTTACCGATGTTTACAGTCAGTAATCCGAATAAACCACAAAAGCAAAGACTAGTGTGGGATGCAGCTGCACAATATGACGGAGTCTCGTTAAACGCGTGTTTGGAGAAAGGTCCAGATCTGCTCACTTCGTTGGTAGATGTTCTTGTTAATTTCAGAATCGGAAAAATTGGTATAAGTGGCGACATTAAAGAGATGTTTCATCGAGTACTCGTGAAAGAAGAAGATCAACATTCACAACGCTTCCCTTGGAGAAATTGTGACGATAACAGACCCCCAGACGTTTATTTGCTACAAGTTATGAGTTTTGGGGCAACATGTTCACCATCGTTGGCACAACTGGTAAAAAATAGTAATGCACGCGAATACGAAACCGAGTTTCCGCGAGCAGTGAAATGTATTTTACAAAGGCATTATGTAGATGACATGCTGGATAGCGTCGACACAGTGGAGGAAGCGATTAATCTAGTCAATGAGGTTAGAAATATTCATAAGAAAGCAAATTTCCATATTCGCAATTGGGTTTCAAATTCTAACGCAGTGCTGAAAGCTATAGGTAACCAAGGCCAGGAATTTCAATTTTGCTCGGCTGGAAGGCGTATAGACCATACATTTGAGGCAGAGAAGGTATTGGGAATCCATTGGCAAACCGACACTGATATGCTCACATTTGATCTGAAGTTTACCAAAGCCACTGAGGATGTTCTAAGTGGATATAGATTACCTACGAAGAGAGAGTTGCTACGATTGATGATGTCAATATTCGACCCTTTAGGGATGCTTACCTTTTACATTATTGACGTAAAAATTTTGTTTCAAAAAGTTTGGCGAAGTGGAGTTAGCTGGGATGACGCTATTCCTAATGAGCTAGTTGATGAGTGGAACAAATGGCTGTCGCTGCTTGGCGGTGTGAAAAATGTGAAGATACCGAGATGTTACTTCGCTACGGTTAATAAGGATGCAGACTCCATTGAATTGCATGTCTTTGTGGACGCAAGTGAGGTTGCATATGCAGCGGTGGTGTACCTAAGAGCGAAGAATCGCAACAACATAGATGTTTCCTTGATATGTTCTAAAGCAAAAGTTGCACCATTACGACCAATATCAATTCCAAGACTGGAACTACTCGCGGCGGAATTGGGAGCACGCTTAGGAAACAACATAAAAAGGGCAATAGACTTGAAAGTGACCAGTATAACGTATTGGAGCGATTCAAAGGCTGTTCTATCGTGGATAAAATCTGACCCACGAGATTACAAACAATTTGTAATGTTCCGCATAGCAGAAATCCAGGAGTTGTCCGAAGCAGAACAATGGCGGTACGTTCCTACAAAATTAAATGTTGCGGACTTGGCTACAAAACAAACTAGTAATCCAGACTTTACTTGGAAAAACCCTTGGTAGACGGCTAAAAAGGAAAACAGTGGCAGACTTAATGGACAGCGAGTAGCAAAATAGCTTCATTTTTTTTTTTTTACATTAAATATTAAAATCAAATTGCTTATTAGTACCTTTTTTTTGTTATTTGTACTAGGTGCAATATTAAAACGATTTGTCTTTATTTGAAGGAATCGCAAAAAAAAAAAAAAAAAAAAAAATCTGAAGAAGCCGATATATGCGCGCAATGGAACCACATCTCCAACTCTATGCGTATCGCTGCAGAAGAGGTGATCGGCTATCACCGTATACAAAGAAACAGCTGGTACGACCAAGAGTGTCGCAATGCTACCGCAGAGAAAGACGCAGCATATCAAGCCACCCTGCGGTCAGTTGCGACGCGCGCTGTTAAAGAGCAATATCGGCAAAAGAGAAGGGAAGAGAAACGTCTTTTCAGGCGAAAAAAGAAGGAAGCAGAAAGACGTGAGTACCAAGAGCTTGAGAAGCTGGGCGATAGGAATATGGCTCGAAAATTCTATCAAATAATTAAAAGCCTGACAAATGGTTATAAACCCGGAGCTAATTCCTGCAAAGATGAAAACGGTAATCTGGTGATAGATGTCCAAAGCATGCTTAATATTTGGAGGGATCACTTCTCGAAACTACTAAATGGCGGTAGTAGCAATGTGACTGAAAGCGAAGATGATCACGAATTTTCAATCGTTGACGATGAAATACTCGTCCCGCCTCCCGATCATAATGAAGTTAAAACAGCTATAACGCGGCTCAAAAACAACAAAGCTGCAGGCGCCGATGGTTTACCGGCTGAGCTGTTTAAAGCTGGTGGCGAAGAGCTATCAAAATGTATGCTACAGCTAATTCGCAACATTTGGTCGGATGAATGCATGCCCAGCGATTGGAATTTAAGGTTCTGTAAGGTTCTGTCAAACGTACTATGTGAAAGATTGAAGCCAATCGTCAACCAACTGATTGGACCTTATCAGTGTGGCTTCAGATCTGGCAAATCCACTCTAGACCAGATATTCACAGAGCGTCAAATCCTGGAGAAGACTCAAGAAAAACAAATCGACACACGCCACCTATTTGTCGACTTCAAAGCTGCTTTTGACACTACGACTAGAAGCACACTCTATGCCGCTATGTCTGAATTTGGTATCCCAGCAAAACTTATACGGCTATGTAAAATGACGTTGAGCAACACCACCAGCTCCTTTAGAATTGGAAAGAACCTCTCCGAGCCGTTTGATACCAAACGAGGTTTCAGACAGGGTGACTCTTTGTCGTGTGACTACTTTAACCTAATGATGGAAACGATAATTCGAACGGTCTACAAATCCCTTATCATGCCTGTCCTGCTGTATGGTGCAGAAGCTTGGACAACTACCAACAGTGATGAGAAGGCGTTAGGAGCATTCGAGAGAAAAATTCTGTCCCTTACGCGTTGGCGACGAGTATCGAATTAGATGGAACGATGAGCTGTATGAGCTATACCGCGACATTGACATAGTTAAGCGCATAAAAATTCTGCGGTTACGCTGGCTTGGTCATGTCGTGCGAATGGAAGAAAGTGCTCCGGCTAGAAAGGTATTTGATTCGGTACCCGCAGGAGGAAAACGGGGTAGAGGACGTCCGCATCTTCGGTAGAAGGACCAGGTGACCAACGATTTGGGGGCGCTCGGCACTACCAACTGGCGTCAGAAAGCAACTAATCAGGCTGTCTGGCGGAGGCTACTCGAATAACTTAATGGCCAACTAAGTGAAGTGAAGTGAAAGTAACGTTGATTTCATAAGCTTGACATGGGCAAAATATGCTCTGTTAGCTGCTTGAATAAGATCTGATATTGCAAGAGTCGCATCTTTACTTGTGCTGAGAACTACGCCTAGATATTTAAACTCGTTTATAGACTCGAAATTGTAGGTGCCTATTCTGATTTGACTATCTTGGGGAATTTTGTCATGTATTTAATTTTTCCTTCGTTTATTCTGAGGCCTGTTTGCTTTGTAGCTTGCTCTAGTTGTATGAAAACGCTTTGAAGATATTACTTGTTTCTTGCAATAATGACGATATCGTCAGCATAGGCGAATATTTGTGTAGATTTATAAAATATTGTACCACCTTGATCTATTTCGTTGATAGCTGCATGTAGAGTCAGATTGAACAGGAGCGTCGATAGAGAATCACCTTGACGTATTCCAGATTTGGTTTCAAATTTGTCTGAAAGTTCACCATTCAGGATTATTTTAGCTTTTGCATGCATTAGAATCATATTAATTAAGTTAATGTATTTTTACGGAATACCAAGATTTTTAAATAGTAATCAATATATTTTCTGTTGAGCTTATCGAAGGCTTGTTTAAAATCTATAAATAAACAATATATGTTAATGTTGAACGCATAATACTTCTCGAAAATCTGTGACCTATCGAAGCATTGGTCTGTTGTTGGGCGACAGGTTCTGAAACCATATTGATAAGCTCACAGTATTTCTTCTGCGTACATGTTTAGTTTTTTATATAATATATTCGAAAATATTTTATAGCAAACATTAAGAAGAGATATACCTCTGTAGTTAGCACAGCTCATTTTGTCGCCTTTTTTATAGATAGAAACTATTAAGCTTTTATACCATTCTTCTGGCATTTTTTCTGTTCTCCAGATTTGAAGTATTAATTCATGTATCTGCTTGTGAAGCTCTTCTCCGGCGTATTTGATCAGTTCAGCGTTTATGGAATCTTCTCCAATATCCTTTGACGAATACGCGCAACAACCATATAGTGATCTGAGTCCCAATTTGCACCCCGGTAAGATCGTACGTCAATAACTGAAGACATATGTCTCTAATCTACTAATATATGATCAATTTGATTGGCATCATTTTGTCCTGGTATTCTCCACGTTTGTTTATGTGTACACTTGTGCTGATGTACTACTTATAAATAGTCCTTGGGACTCGGCAAAGTTACATAGACGTATACCATTATCGTTTGTATTTTCATGGAGCGAATGTTTTCCTGCGACTTATTGTATTACTGATTGTTCCTTTTCGATCTTTGCGTTGTAGTCGCCAAAAAGTATTTTAATATCATACCTACTTAATATACTGCATACATTCGACATTTTATCGTAGAATTCATCCTTGTTCAATCTTCACTTTCTTCTGTCGGCGCATAGACCGACAAAATTGATATATTTTGGACTTTACCTTTGAGTCACAAATAGCACATACGTACATTTATTGGTTCGAAAGCCTTTACACTATTTCACGTTTTTTTGTTGATGTAAAAACCTGTGTTTTTGTGACCTTGAATTTCGGCGCCGCTGTAGAAAATGCTATAATCTTGTTTCTTGATTTCGCCATGCTCCTTTCACCTTATTTCTTGTAGACACGCTACTGTAATGTCATACGTTCTATGTTCGAAAGTTATTTCTGCTGTTTTATCTGATTGAAGCATACTCAAAATATTCCATGTTGCTAATTTAAAATCGTTGTCCTTTATACGCTGCGTAGGTCGATATCTTGGGGGTGTTCTTCTCTGATCAGTATTGTTGGATTCGTGGTAATAGATTTTATAACTGATAAGAGGTCGCCAACCTCACACCAAGATTTCTCACCTCATTTCTTGTGTTCCCTTCCTTTCCACTGAAGTTTCTCTATTAGGGTTAGCAGCACTATCAAATTGCAGGCGAAATGAGGAGATTATATATTATTCCTATGAAATGAGGAATAATATATAAGTAAATTAATTGAATAAATCGTATTCAGAGAGTCATGTAAAAGAGTCATAGCAAAAGAACAACCTAGAGGCGACATTTGCCAAATCGAAATAAAAGCGCCAGCATTCAGCACACGAGATCCTGATTTGTACTTCATACAAATAGAATAGCAATTTCGCAATGCAGGCTCATGACTGATCAAACAAAATACGCTCACGTAGTTGGCAACCTCGACAGCGCGCTACATTACAAAATATTGCAAATATTATTCGTGCTCCACCAACAACTGCAAAACACGAGATGATCAAAATACGACTGATCGAAGTTTTCGTTGATTCAGAAAATAGAAAACTGCAGCGACTGATGAACCACTGTCAACTTGATGACAACAAGCCAATAAGCTGTAAGTGTTGGAGCCATCAAACAATTGTGGCTGGACCGTTTACCTGAGGCAGTACGAGCAGTCGTTTCAATTTCCGAAGCAGACGTGAACAAATGTGCTCAACAGGCAGACTTTATATTAGAAATGGCAAACTACAATTCTGTTGCCCTCATCAACTTATAAACACAAAACAAAGATCATATTATGGCAGCCATAGAGGCGTTGAATAGGCAGGCGGCTGAGATAAAAACAGCGCAAGATTTTGGACACCAGATCCCAAGTGACGTGTCCCTCACTGTACTGTTTGTCAGGTAAGAGGTTATCCCATGTGCTATTATCACTACCGTTTCAGTACTGAGGCGAAAAATAGTTCCTTACCGTGCAATTTCAAACAACAGGGAAACCAGTAGGGACTTCATCCGAGGCGGTCGATGAAGTCCAATTTACAAATATATCTAATCGCCTGTTCATCACCGACCGAAATACGTATTTCAAATTCTTGATAGATATTGGAGCCGACCCCTCCATATTATCAGTGTCTCGTTTCAAGAATCCCAAGCTGCAACCAACACCTCGATTACTCTATGCAGCTAACGGTTCCGCTATATCAACCTAAGGAAACAAACTGTTCTTTTAATTTGGGCTACTGTAAAAAGATTGATTGGAATTTCACAATCGCCCACGTTTCCAAACCAATCCTAGGTGCTAATTTCTTGAAACACTTCGGTCTGTTGGTAGATGTGAAACATAGATGCCTCAGCGATAATCAAACGAAGGTAAGTACCAAATGTGCATCATACAACTGCAACGACGAGCTTAAGACTACAGTTCGTCAACAAATTATCACCAAACGTCAGCCTGTTTTTTTGTGTGCACGGCGACTAAATCCGCAAAAACTGCAAACTGTCG